GAGCGGCCTCGGGGTCTTGGGAGCTGGGAACCGCCGTTCTCGATATTCAGAGCCTGCCATACCGTCCAGCGGGGCACCTGGCGGTGAAGGCCTGGGGTGTTAAATGGCACTCAGCTTAAACAGCGATGTGGTTTTTTCCACACAGTGCAAGCCAACTGCTACAGGAGCAACGAAGGGGATGGTATAAGTATATAGACATGTATTCGTTAATACAGGCATGACATTATACATTAGTTTGCAATAATGAAAAGTGTTAAGTGCAAGTGTTGGTCAGTGCCTCCATTGGTGAGGTGGTTGGTAATCCAATATCCACTGGCAGGTAACCCAGGTAAATGGCGAGATGCGCTATTCCCATCTTTTATTTCGTGACCGTGCTTTGTAACACATTTTCCATCCAACGCGCCAAAGGGCAGACCCTCTGTGGTGGGCATACCCGCCAGGTCGAGTCAGTCATGGGCCTGTCGGGACAGACAGCACGTCATACCTGGCTCTGGCTCCTCTCGCCTGTGAAACAGTGGGGTTTGTGTATCTGGGGGGCTCATATCAGCTCCTTCAGCTTTTTAATCCCTGATTATTGACAGCTTTAAATTCTCTGATTTATGTTTATTTTTCAGCTGAAATGTGGGAACTGTGGTGAAGTTTCTGAAAAATGGCAGTATCTGCGATTGATGGTATGTTTCCCTGGTGTAACCTGCATGAGAACAAAAATGAGAAAACAAACCTGCCTCTTAAACGCAAGGGTTATTAGCATCAGGGATGTGACGACTTGCACTTTAGATGAGATAGTATTTTAACAGCTATATGCATTCAGGAAATGCTTTCATATTTCATATTAAAAAAAATACTTGGAGACCATTAATTGAAATATGCCATTGGAATGATGACTGTTGTGACAAAGTATTTACATCTGCTTTGAAAAGCTGCCTTTCTGTAAAAATACCATTTGAAAACAAATTTTGAGTTGATATCGGAATAAGGTTGTGCCTGTAGCATATTTCTTTGATGCTGACGGAATCTTTTTGGAGAAGTTTAGGTAATTCAAGGTGAGTTAAGCATGCTAAATTAGCATTTGGAAACTGAAAAAGCAGGATAAAATTTGTCAGGGATAAGAGAAATCAGGGATAAGAGAAATTTCTGTTCTTAGGAATAATCATCCCTATTTGTTGCATACTACTGAATGGTAAGAATGTATTTTGAGGAATTAATGGAACATGCCTATATGGACAAGACATAACTATCCATTATTCACTATTTTAAGTCTAGAACGTAATTATTCTTTGATAATCACAGCTTTCTGGATTATGGATCTCTCTAGTTTAAAAAAAAAGGCTTCACGTTGCAATATTTTTAAAAAGTTAAAGACCATTGTTGTAAAAACTACTTCACCTTTGCAGAGGTTTCCGGTGGCTCAGCTAAAGTGCAGTTAAAAATGATGTCTCTATTGTCATGGTTTTTAGGACAGTGCTCCCCTGAAAGGAGGCAGAGGAAGCGCCACCATGGTGCAGAAATGCAAGCTGTGCTCCAGGGAGAACTCCATTGGTATGTGCTTAGAAATTTAAGAGACATCATCCATTTTACACTTTCTCCTAAATTTGTTTTAGTCCACATTTTAGCTTGACACTGTTTGTAAAGAGCATTCACCAGGGATTTTTTTCCTTGTACACTGGTGCTTGAGTTCACAACAGGTACATACTTATCATCATGCTCATGAAGGAGACAGCAAGGCCTCCTGGTGAGTTCAGGTTTCTGCATGAACGAAACTCATATCTGTAATGTCATTTTACAAAAGCATGCAATTTTTTTTTGCATTGGCAGGGTAACAAAATGGTGTAATGTAAAATTCTCAGGAGAAGTGACAAAAAATGAATTCTACCTTTTGAGGGCCAACTGCAGGACCTGCTTTATTACTTTGTTTCTTTTACTTTGTATAAGGAAATTTCTTTGAAAGAAGAAGCTGGTGCTTGGTTTGTGCTGAATAAAACTGAAGACATAATGCCACTCGCTTTTACACTTCTGGGTTTTTTTTTTTTTTTTAGATATTTTAAGTCAGACAATCAAACCTTACAACGTAAGTTTGTTTTCTCTTTTATATAACAAGTGAAAGATAAATAAGCATTAATAATATTTTGAGTTTTTGCTTTATCATCACATTCATTTTTCAAGAACACAAAAAGCTGGTATTCTCCTCTGACAGAAAATTGTCTCTTATAAGCTGCTGCACACAGTCTCAGGTGTAGAATAATCCGTGATACATTTCATAAGCGAAACACAAAACTGTATCACTCAAATTAGAGGTGATTATATAATGCCCCTATTAGTTTCCTTTTGAAGGCTTCCTTGAGGCAGATTAAGAAATTCTAGTTAATTGTCACCTATTAAATGAGCCCTAGGATTTTGCTGTCTCTTGGAACATCAGAGTTGATAGTACTGCCTTTAAAGCAATTCATTTCTAGACTAATGCTTGTCACTGTCTTTCCCTGTTAGATGAAAACTAATGGTATTCTGATTCAATTATAGGCTGAAGACAGCGAGAAATTCAAAACAATAGTGGAGTTTGAATGAAAAAAAAAACCGGTTGACTTTCAACCACAGGTGAGTTCTTATTCATGATTTGTTTCTCAGTTTTTAAGAGCACTTCTTATAGACTCTAGAGTGATAAAATACACACTATTTGAAATGGTACTGCTCTTCCTGGAATGTCCTAGACCGCCCCAGTTTTCCATCCTCTCCGCAGTTCTTTCTTTTACTTCATTTGACTCCAAAAAAATCCCCGCAAGCAGCTAACACTAACAACTCTGGTATTCTTTGTGCCAGTAAAATCTAAAATTAAAACATGCCTTGGAATGTTCAAAAATATACAAATTGCTTTACAGGTGACTTAGCACTGTTCATCTGAATTAATCTGAAAGGTCTTCATCGCTCAGGTTATTGCAAAAGAGAGTCTTTCCCAAAGGGGAATTGGGAGAGTGCATAACTAGATAGCCACATTCAGGAGAGCGCCACTTTGCTTCTTGGTATGTTACAGAGAGTAGATGAACAGTCTTCAGTATATGGCCTCTAAAAAAAATCAAATTTTCTTTAAGATTTGACATCACCAAAACCATAGGAAATGAATATTGGCATTTTTCCATTTGAAACTTGATCAGACGAAGACTGAAGATCAACGGCAGTTAAAGACTGTTGCAGAGCACACCTCAAGGTTCAGAGTTAAAGGATTTCTTCAGGGCCAAGCCAGTCTTCAGTGATTCATTTGCTCGTGCATGGTCATGCTGTATGCAAGTTAACTCCCTACTATATTTAACCTATTATTCCAGTCGGATTAGGTGTAAATAGACTGACAAATATAAACCTGTCTTATCCTTTCCTCAGACTGTGACACTATGCTAAGAAACAGACCAAAAAAGCTGATCATACGAAGAACTTGGTATAAATAAAATCACCACTGCAGTGTGCTGCAGGAGGCCTTCTTTTATTTATTTATTTAAGTGAAGCCTATCTTTTTGAGGAACAGAATGGTTATTAGTTTATTCCTGTTTGAAATCTTTGCAGCCACACCTAGGAACTTGCACTTCAAGAAATATCTACGAGAAGACTACAAAATGTAGGAGATGTTTATAGCTGTGCATCCTAGCTATCAATTTTATTTTTATCTGCAGAACAAAGACTTCACAGCTGTAATAAAGCTATTAATTTAATATTCTCAAAGTTTGGTCTGTGCACTCTATTGGAGAGTTCACTTGAATCCCTGAGCAGGTATTTCAGTGAATTTTCTGATGCCTAAATGAGTAAATATATAGATTTCTGCAGTTCCAAACAATTCTATAAACTGCTTTATATTTGACATGATCCAAGCCAGCCTGGCTTCTCCACAACCTTAGATCTGGCTTTTGATTAGCACCAAACAGGATTGGCCATAGCATTACTGTATTTTCTTTGTATTTTTTGACAGACATAATACAACCATACCTGAAGTCAATTTAGAGTGGCTTAATACTTGCATGTCTTATTTAAATTATAGTAGTTTTCTCAAAAAAATCACTTGAGTCTGAAAGAGGAGAATGTATCCTTTGATTCTCTGATATAAACCCTCTTTTCCTACCTAGTAGCAGCAACAAATTCAAACTAGGTACCTGTGTGTTCTACTAATGGGCAAGGACAATTTTTTCCCCCTAATTACTTATCTTTCTAGTTTAATGTGCTTAAGTAGATATATCTACTGCAAATCTGATACATAATTTTTGGCTTGAGGATAGTTCAGCTCCTTTCCCACTCTTGTCCCTCAAGTGAATGCTTCAACTAAAAAATGGAGGTTTCTTTATAAAATTTCTCTTAAACCTTCCTAAGCTTCTTTGCTTTGTGCCACAACCAATAGTTTAATTGGTAACAGAACTGTGACAGTTCACTGTGTTGTAAAGTCAATAGGCGTTTTTGCTTCTTCGGTGTGTGTTCATGCTTTAGCTGTTGGTCCTTCGCCGTCAGCAGAGGGCAGACACGTCACTGCATGTCCCAGCTCCCTTCTGCAGAGATTAAACGAGTCTCTGCTCTGACGCCAAAGCTGTAAGAACGCGAGTCCCACCGAGTGTCTGGTACAGAAGCTTGTAATTCCAGTCACATGGCTTCTTTTTCCTTGGAGGGCAGGTGAATATCTTCAGGTGGCAAAAGCAGGGCTTCTTTTATTTTTCTAGTGTTTGTTCTATACTGCACCTCTGCATTTTTGTACCATGATGCTGATCTTCCTCTCCACCCCTAGCAGTTCCCTTGAGATGGGCTTCTGACAATTATATAAAGCCCATATATACACTGTGCCTTGCAGTTATGCGTTGTTGTTACGTCTGCCACACTCCATGGTTTATTTAACTCCCAAGTGCTTAATCTTCCATTCAGATTCTGAAACATTTTAAAATCGTGTCGCTTACTTCACACATTCTTATATAGTTAAATGTCTGATTGGCACTAGTGGGGATCAAAAGTGCAAGTGTAGCTCTCTTGCAGAAAACCAGGGAAGAAGCTACCTTTGCTTTTTAGCCACTTCTTAATAAAATTCTGTAGTTAGAAATAGCAATGTAAGAAACCTTCCTACATGCTACAGAGGTGGCTGAGATTTTTAAATTTACTTTTAAAACTAATAAAACTTAATTTACAGCTTGATAACCGTGAACCCTAAAATGAGAGAGCTGTTCCTATAGAAGTAAAACAAAAGACCTTGTTCTTGTGCTATACCCCACTGATACACTATTTCCTTCCTAGTGCTATCCTTTCCTTCAACTCTTTAAAAACAGCAACAGTAACAACAGTGAAGAACTCTCCCCTTCGAAATGATTGTTTGGGTATATTAATCTGTTCATTCCGTCAACTGATTCTCCTTTCATGTAAAGCTTGCTAGTCACTTCTATACTAAATCCAATACAGGCTGCTCCTTCTCTAGAGTGTCTTGGATTCTGACAATATTTAAGCTACAACTATTAACTCTTTTCCACATTTTCTTTCTATTGTTTTCTTGCAGTGTAAGTTTATTATGAAGCCATATTATACATAATGCCTGTATGGATTCTGAACACAAATTAAAGCTATTAGTAGTTGGATGCTGCTACATAAACTTAGAAACTCAGGTTTAGCATTATCTAGAATACTTGGAAATACCTTTTTGGCAGGAAAAATAGAGGAGCAGTGTTCCCTCATTTTACTCTGTGATTGCTTAGATCGAATTTTCTCAATTAACAAACAGGGTCACAACCTTATACTGACCCTTAACCAGGAAAGAGCTTGACCATTCTTTCTACCTAATTTAAGAGAAGTACAGTAAAAGTTTGTGCTGCATTCCTTTCTTTAAACATGTTTCAATGATCATATTTATTATTTTCTTGGTACAACTTCTTTTTAAGAACTTACTGCAAATGTGTTTGCAGGCAGGGTTTGCCGCTGAAGGTGCAGAATCTGGCACACCTTTCAATGACATAAACTTGTTAGAAAAGGTATGTTGTCTTAGTTTCATTAGTAAATCTAATTATCTAGCTTTCTTTCCCGAAGTCACTAGTCCAAAATACACATCCTGCACGTGCAAGAGACTAGTTTTGCTCTTGGCACAGGAAGGTCATAGCTGGAGAGAGAAACTAAATCAACTACGAACAACCACCATTACTAACAGCGTCATTTTTAGAAGTACACATTTGATAGCTTAGCAGCTGACAAAGGTAGAAATGCAACTTTTCTTTTAAGTCACTCAGGAATTCCAGAGAGCAAACGTCTGGAATACTAAATGGCTGGGGTTATTCAGAGTGGTGAACTGACTTTTCTAGGAAGATGCCTGCACTTTTCCCTGTGCACAGAGATATTAAAAAGTAATATAAAGACACTGTCCTTCAAAGCTCAGGATAATGACTCCAGCATTGCAAATCTTCCTTGGCTGTGAGCAAGAATCTCAAGGTCAAATCTGTTCCCTGGTATCCTACTTGGCAGGATCTGCTTGTCTGCTTACCCACCTGACTAGGGTATTGTAAATGATAGATAATCCTTTCATCTGCCGTTGTTGCTGTCCTGTCCACTGCAGGCTGTGGACTACATATTAAAAAAAAAAAAATCATTGTTCAAACACTGAGACTGAAGCCCATTTAATTTCAGGTCAGTCCTCTTGCTTCCCTCAGATATCAGAACTTAGCTTAGTGACTGCACTGTGCTTTCCACAGAAATCTAAGACACAAACTTTGAGTAAGGCTTAGTTTCAGCTTGAGTTCAGTCTGTGTTTTAGACACTATTGCATTCTATCCTCTGTGACTAATACTGTGAAATCTTATTTCCTATAGGATTGGAATGACTATGATGAAAAAACAAAGGAATCTGTTGGAATCTATGAAGTTACCCATAAATTTGTAAAATGCTGAAGTTCATACCCCTAATAAATCTTGACATGCTTATTGATGAAGGAGCTGTAACCATCAGAGATGCAGTTTCCTTGGAGTTACTTTTTACATGGCTATACTTCAGAAATGGAAACCTAAGTTGTACTTACTGACCCCAGGATGTCCGAATAAAGTATTTTCCACAGAGCACTTTTGAGATGGCCTCAGTACAAACTGAAAATAGTGTATATGCTTGACTGAACTGTGCCATTTTCATAATGTTGTCTTTTTTGGCAATATGTATGGTTGTGATGGACTATGTCTTAACTAGTCTATCAGCAGTAACTACTTAGACAACTTATTGCCTTGAAGTTTTTAATAGCCTGTCACCAAGAAGTACCCACATTTGATTCTCTAACATAAGCAAGTAAAGTCTTTTCACTCACCATTCTATCATCAGGAAATGGCTATGAGTATTAGTAAATGGACTGAATTAACTGTTCAAGCAAAAAGATACATCTTTAATAGCTTTCTGCCAGTTCAGTAAAGACACTGGGGTGAGTTTACTGAGAACACTTAATAAGCTTGACTGCTATTGACACTTACACATAGCTGTTACATCTTCTGAAAATCTGAGTATGTCATTAAGTAAACCTCACTCTTTTCTAGTTAAAGACAGACCTTCTACTTCTTGCCAGCTGTTCTCATGGTTTTTTTAAAAAAAAAACAAAAACAAAACCCAACCAAAAACACAAACCCCAAAAGCTTCTTTAGTGAATTTCATTCAAAGGTTTTTGGTCTGATTGTTTCCTGATATATTATTTCCTTCATCCTGCCAAGTGATCATCTTCCTTTGTTTAAATGAGCAAGAACAATTATGGTATGTTTTATAGTAAGTTTTAAAATAATCCATTTCAACTGAAAAATAGAACAGCACATTACAGGCTGCAGAGGAAACAGCTCTGACTAGGAAAAATTTATAAGCCGTTGGGCTTACATATTTAAAGCATGCCTCTCCCTTTCCTAGCACTTGCAGTTCATACTTCAAGATATGGTATTGCTTACACTTGCTGTGATAAAGAAAAAAGACACAGGAAGAATGTGGAAGCTAAGATATCCAAAGGAAAAGTAAAGGCAAGTAGGTTTCTGAGTCTCTGAACCTGATCTGTCACATCCAACCAACCTGCTCAGACTTTTATGTCCTGCTAATGTATTTGGTTGTCAAGGTCACGGTGGGCTGTGCTGAAAGACGGGCTGCATTAGTTTTACACAGAGCCGCAGAAGCAAGCACTTCTGTGCTATTCAGCTCCGAGAAAGGCTCATCTTCCCAGAAGAAAAATGGAGTGGAAGACGTCAGGGTTTAGAAAGCAGAGGAGTTCAAGTTATACATACCATAATGAATTTTGTGCACAAAGGGGTATCTCACGCAAAGGGCATCTGTGTTGTAACCTCAGCAGCTTCGAGTACCTTTGGCTTCTTGACTGACAAAGGCCCCTTCCCCTTTTGCTACCACCCACTTTGTAGCTGGCAGAGTCCCAGTTGTGAACAACACACAAGGAACTGTCTGCATCAGTTTCATCTCACATTCACAGCATCGCTAAGTTTTATTGATGCCTATGCTCAAGCTCTCCTGCAATCCCTTCAGAGAGTTCTGCTAAGTCTTAGTCTTTAGAACTTCTGCAACAAGCCCCAATGCATTAAAGACGCAGCTCTAGGCACTAAGACTCTGGCATTTGCTACAATAAATGACATCAAAAGTTCTAGCTGATAGAACAAGGAGGAAACAGGAAAACCTTCTGCTGAGGTTACTTTTCCACAGTAAGAGGACGTTTGGAAAGAAAGAACCCCAAAAGATAAAGTTCAGTGATTTTTCTTTTTTAAGGCCCAAGAGCACAGGTTTATGTAGCAAAACAAAAGCACATTATTGGACAGACTTCATGTATGGAAGAGAAGAGCCAACACTGCAGAATGCTTTCAGTAGTTTTCCTTTCAACCTTTATAAGAAACATGAGCTATTGATAAAGAGACTACCCATACCATATAATTTTGATATGGCAATAAAAGAACTTTGTGGTTAGTAATAGATAGCTTTATTACAATACAGTCTTTTCCAGTCAATTTAACAACACAGTTGGTGATTGCAGGTTACTTAAAGCCTCCCACTTCATTTTTTGTTTCTCAAAAAGCTGTTACAGTGGAAGGGCTTGAAGCAGTTGAGGCACAACCAGTTCTGATATTGATTCAAGTTTAAAGAGAAAAGTAAGCGTGACAAGTTAGTAAGCAAGCTTACTACAAGAGTGCAAATGTAACCACTTTTTCATATTCAAAATTATTGCATATATTTTTTTAAAATCAAACAGTTTAAGAGTAGTATCACAGTGCTGTTGTCTGTCTGAACACTCATGGAACACACATGTTCTGAGTTCATAAACCCAAAAACAATGCTTTTTATTTTAAATAATGCGTTTTAAGAACACGTGGATCTGTTGGAACAGATGTATCTTTTACTTAATTTTGACACTGTGAATGTTTGTATTTCCTAAAACATGCATTCAAGGTCTGTACTTGATTTCTTCAAAACAGATACAGATTTCATAGTGGATCTAACAGTACTGAAGTTCAATGAAGACAAATGAAGCCAATTAAGGTGGGCAGTCTCAGCCACGTTGAACACCAATTAGTATGCCAATTAGACATAGTCTGCATTTTATATTGCAACTGTAAAGTGTTCCAACATTTTTATGTCTAATTACTGATTTTCTTGCCCTTTAAAACATTAAAGATATCTTCTAGTGACTTGTATACACACTGAAGGAATTCTTTACCATTCCTAGTTGGGTAAGAGGAAACATTACAACCTATCCAATCATCATGTACCTGATATCCTACTCCAAAGCCATCAGACACTACTGGACCAAACCCTCCTAATTGCACAGCTGGGCTAAGCAATGTGCTTGTAGAAATGATGTTGTGATTAAGCTGAGCATAGGCTTGGTCTTGATAGAAATCAGGCAGTGCAGTACCTTTGGATAACGCTAAATAGCGCAAGCCAAAGAGATGTCGGTCAAATCCCTGACCTGTTAAAATAAAATAACAGGTATTAGAGAGATGACTAATTTTTGTGAGAAGTAAACTCACTTATTTTGACATCACATTGTTTTTCAGCCATAAAAGAGGAGGTCTACAGAAGTGGGTTTTATTTTCATATTAGCAGGAATCATTTTTCAGAACCCAGACATTCTGCACTTTTAATGCACGTATCCTAGGGAATGAGGGCTTGCTGTTTTACTGCTAGCCTCAACCAGGAATCATGATAGTAAACAAAAGTGCAATGTTAACAGACAATTTTAATAATACATCACAATCTTTGATTAACTATTTATCTGAACATATCCAGGTTCTTTAAAACAGAGAAAGGCTTTCCTAAAATTTATGAATCTAAAGAGGAAAAGGATCTTGCATCAACAAAAGGAGGCCAATTTTAGACTCTATGGGGTAATGTACAAGAGTCAATTTTACTGAAACAATACAAGAAGCTATGCTTCTGGGAAGGACAATTCAAAAGAAAGCATTTAGAAAAATACCAGGAGTAGCACAGCCAAAGAATCAGTTTGATTTGGAAGTTGTTAAAGCCTGTACTCCTGCAGGGATAAGATAGTAACTCCTCAGACACAAAGCCAAAGTTCTTGGTTGCCCTGGAGAGTACAACATGCTCTAAGTATTTATCAAATTTTCAAATAGCCCAGCTGCTATAAGGACAAAAACTAAAGTATAAAAAATTCTCAACATGTTCACAGTGAAGTGGGAAGCATAGAGACATTCTCCTCCATCATGAAATGAGTCTTCGAGAATGCATTTTAAATTGAAGCCTTCTGCTACTGTTTTGGTCAAGTTTACATTAACATTAGACCTCCATCAAAATTAAATTATTTAGTTGTGAAGTAAACGTTTACAGCAACCTTAATAGACATTTTAGTGCAAAAGCAAGAGTGTTTGATATATTCCTACTTACCCATAGCAGCTTCTTTTGTCAAACGGCCATGGTATTTTGAGCACTCCACTATCAACTTCTGAAGCTCTTCTGTGCTATGTTTGGACAGTTCTCTGACAAAAACTTCCGAACATTTCTTTGTATGGATAGAGGCAGGACGTATAGTTTCTGTACGACCATGTTTGAAAGCTGCAGTACTACAAGACTCGTATGTAGCAACAGTCTGATTGTATTGTCGAAGGAAAGCCATCTGGAAGGCAAGCTGAGCCACAGCATCTGGACTTACCTTCTTCTGCTTTAGAAGGTCCTTGCCCCCTTCACGGAACTGAATCATATTAAGAGACAGTGCTTCTACACTGGCATCAAATTTCTGTTTGGCTTTGGTAATTCCTGCTTTTAAGGCATCATTCAGCTTAAAGTCAAGTTTCTGTACTGCTCTAGAAGAGTCTACTGAAGCAGGCTGGGACTGGGGGCTTATGGCTGGTGCCTTGGTGCTATCTTTAAAAACCTCATTCTGGAACCTAAGCACAGCCACACCATCTCCCCAGGAATGTTCAAAATTAATTCCTGCAGTGCCATCCTTAGTTATGATAAGATTAAAGGATTTGTCATACCAGCGGTTAGCACCATCTCCATGCAACATAGTGTGGGACAAGTGCACAAAGTCTTTAAGGGGAAAATCATCTAAACTTAAACAAAACACCGCAGAGTCTACTTTTTGAAGAGCTTCTTCATTGCCATTATCCAGTAGATTCTTTCTCAGCAATGCCCACGTATCTCGGTTTTCACTGGAGAGGTAGCCAAGAGGGAAGGCCGGGGCGGGACTGTTGTCGCTAAGGATGTATTTCAAGTGTGCTTGTATTTCTGAAGGTTTCAACATATTTCCATCTCTATCAATAACATCAAATACATAAAAATTCCCATTTCTCAATACCAGTAAATGTTTTGCCTTTTCATCTGTATAAAGCTCATCTCTGTTGAGTTTAGGCAGCCGCGTAGAATTGAAAAGCCTGAAGTACTGAGACATATCTAGGGGGTATGCATTGACCAT